GAACTAATGCCAAAGATATGTCAAAACAGGTTCTTCAGGGTGGCTGCTCTTAACATTTAATATCTTCAAATTTCTTAATTTTTTGTTATTTATGCCAATGTTCTTGGTCCCATATTTTACAACAATGACTTTATTTTTGCCAGCATGGGTTATTAGATTTTTGTTTATTAAATTGCTAGATGTTTATGCAATATATTATGGCTTTGTTTTTATTATAAAATTTGCTAAATAAGTAGACAAGATCAATATTAAGTTACTAGGTAGATTCAGTTATGCCAATCTTATTATGGAGGCAGGCAAATGTTAACAATAGATTTTATGACTGGAGAAAGATGGTAATACCAGTATAACAATAAGCCTATCGGTCATAGCCTGTTCCTCAATTATGAGAGACTAGAATTATATCCAGTGTGATAGAGCATATTAGTTGGTGCAACATCTTTTCTATTTCAGTAGTTCCAAAAATGAATTACTAAATACTAATAGGGAGGGAAAGTAGTGTTTTTGATAAAATTATATCTACTGACACCTAACAGGATACTTTTCTCTCAGCCCATCTCAGAACTCAGTCAGCGGATTGAAGTTATTAACCACAAGAGAAAGGCCTCTGGTCTGCCATGGATCTTAGTACATACAGATGCAGCCCAGATGATTGGAAAGGGGCGAGTAGATGTGCAGGACTTGGGAGTAGATTACCTCACTATTGTAGGACACAAGGTATATTTTTCTTTGTTTGGGCTACTATCTCCTTGTTGTGACCTCTTCTGAACTTTGGAGAATTTCATACCCAAGAATAGTAGTTCTCAATTACTAAATTAGAAGCCACTGTGCCTTTAATTTGGTTTGTCATTTCTGGAAACTGTATTCTCTTACAGATTTCATTTGACATACTGTTGGAAAGTCTTTTGTTGGATAGCTGTACAGTAAACTCTGCTATAAATAATCTTACTATGCATGTTGGTACACAGAATATAAAGGAGCGAAGCAGTAGTAATAAAGTCTTTAATTATGCCACATCTTTAGGGAGGCACAGTCTGTTAAGGGTGAAATCTCTAAGAAATTCTTGGCAAGTTTCTTTTTCAAGAAGGAAGGTACAAGAGTATCTGTTGTGTTTGACTTGATACTAGCCAATTGTAGTATCAAGAAGTGAAAGTAATGGGAACATTGAGGAAAATGACTATATAAAGCTGAGATTACCCAGAGAGATGCTTGACTCCCCTACATTGGATTATTCAAGCAGAGACTGAATAGAATCATTCTTTAATTTTAATGGTACTTCAGAGAGCTTAGTTCGTCCTTTAAGGATTCTCCAGTAGATGGCCCTCAGGAATAATTTTTGAGTAACATCTTTTTTCCCCCCACTGAGTTTTAGGACTCTTCAATGTGACATGCTTAAGTTTTCTTAAGCATGCTTTCTTCCACTCCATAAAATTTCTATCATTTTGCATTACTCCTGTTACATTTTCCTCTTAATTCTTACAGGAGGACAAAATTATAAAGTTGGAAAAAAAACCCCTTCATGACATCCAATATCTAGTCCAATATCCTTGCTTAATAGAGGATCTGCAATGCATTCTTCTTCTCTGGCCAATGGCTGTCTTTGCTTAAATGTCTCTGCCAACTATCTGCTGAAGAAGTCTCTTCACTCATTACTCTGTTCAATAAGTGTTCTTGTCAGGAACGTTTATCTGCATTGTTAACTATAATTTATCTGCCTTCGGCTTTTATATATTGCTTTTACTGTTGTGATTTATAATTACAGTTTTACGCCCCACGTATTGGAGCCTTATATGTTCGAGGACTTGGTATGAACACTCCTCTTCACCCCATGCTGTTTGGAGGCGGACAGGAATGGAGTTTTCGCCCAGGGTATGGTGAATAGGAGTACTGGATATACCTACTGAGTTGTTAGAGACCAACCAAATGTATCGTGACACTATAGGAGGATGTACAACTTTCTTTGGTTCAAGAGCATGTAGGCATGCTTGCTGACGTGTTCAGGATTGTAATCTAAAAGAGGGTAGTGGGGCAAAACCCATCATGAACAGGAATGGAGTATTTTATTTTATTTGTATTTATTTTTATTTAGCAAGTAAAACTAAATAATAAGTACAAGTACCCTGCTATGCTTCCACATTGTGACAGAGCAGATGATTTTGGGAGAGGTCAGTGAAGCAATGTATGCCAAGAACACATATTCTCAGCAGAATCACCCAAGATACCTCTGAAGGTCATCCCAACTGCTCAGCTAAAGCAAGTAGGCACCTATTTGGGGCAGTAATAATGTAATTGAATGCTGGAGACAGATGATCACTTTATTGCCACTCCAAAGGCATAATTTCATACTGCATAGGAGAATGCAATAGTAACAATTTGCTTGTATTTTATAAAAAAAAAATCACATGAAAAACCATGTAAAGTAATTGACAATTTAGGGTTGGATGATAGAGACCTCATTTGTTATGTGGCCTGCAATTCTACAGAGGGGACATTTTGATGGTGTTCTGAGATTTATATTTTAGTGGTGCAAGATTTGGCTAGTTGTCCTGGGAATCAGGTAGGTTAAAGAAGAGAAGCTGCAAGTAGAAGTAACAGCAGGTAGAAAAGATGATGGAGCCAGCAGTGAGCACAGTACAGGGGAAACTGGAGGGAGAGGAATTTGGAAGAGCAGTAGTGAATAGGCACTTACGAAGAGTAGAGGTCAGGCTGATGCCTGAGAAACTGAGGAAGAGGAATCATAGGCAGCACTGACACCCACCCTGCCACACATTTTGCACTTCTGTGCTATAGTGAATAATATGTAGGTTTTAAACGTATGCAAGAAAAGGTATCAAAAGGAAATATTTGGAAGAAAAATGCAAATACGCTAGAAAAATAAGAGGATCTTCTGTTTTCTAGGTAGTATCTTGATTTTCATTAGAAGTTTTTATTTTATTTACGTCATACATTAATACTAGTGAAATATTGTAATATGGTTGTTATGCTAAGTGTGTAATGTGTTAAACAATTCACACAGTTGTAGACCTTGTATTTGTGCAACTTAAAGTGTATGAATAAAAGCTACTTTTTTTTAGGACTGAGAATACTCCAATGATTGCTGGTCTTGGCAAGGTAGGCTTAAAAAATGGTAAATGATACAAATATGCAATGTGGATAAAAGGTGTCTTATTGAATAAGTGTGTCTTTATTTTTTTACAAAAAGAGGAAATAGATATCAGCAAGTCATAGATTTAAATGCAGCACACATATAACTGAAGGAAGGTGTGATAACTGTCCAGATTCTCTGAGATTTCTTTGCTTGGGCTTAGCCTATGGCAATATTCTTTAGTTTCTAGACTCTTGAGCCAAGTCTTCATAATGTTTTCTGTGTTTGCATGGAGACCCAAAGTTCTAGACCTAGACTTAGACTTTCAGGTTAGTTTAACATATAGTGGGATACCGATAGATGATGTTGCAATCAAGTGCTTAAAGCAATCTCACCAATTTTTTTTTAGCATCTTAAAGTTTTCAGTCTCTGCAACTGCGCAAGTAGCTTATCAAACTAAAAGTAAAACATCAAGTTGGTCTATAAACAAATGGCAGGGAGTGAAGTCCACAGGAACCAGTGCTTTTGTCATTTGCCTTCTTTCGATACCTCCCTCCTAGGAAATGGCTCTGATTGTTGAATGTGGGTACTGCAAAAAATGATTTGCACATTTTGAAAATAATTTGCAAAAAAGAAAAAAAAACGTTTTGGACCTACCTGTTATTGATTTAAAAAAGTGTAGGTATTGGAGACTTGAAAAAGAGTTTCAGATTTCTCCCAATTATTTTTGAAGTGTGTACAGCCATAACTGCAGAATACACTAACATTTTCTATTACTTTTTGTCTTTAAAATTGTTTTGTAGGTATAAGGTTTTATTGGGAAATTTGGGGGAATTCCGTGGAGGAGAGTCTCCCTTATTGGCTTTTTGTCTACCCTGGCTAACGATAATAAACATCATATGGTCAGGTGAACAAGGAAACTGAACGATTCCTTTAAAATTTGGCTCTAATATTTAACCTGATATTCTCACCTTCTTTTGCAGGCAGCTGAATTGGTGAATGAGAACTCTGAGCTATATGAAGCTCACATGAGGAAGGTTCGGGATTATCTGGAAAAAAGGCTTGAAGTAATTTCAATCATCCGCGTGTTTTCTATATAGTTCTGCAGTCTTTATATGGGAGCAGGAGATGACATCAGAAAGCTATATTACCCTATACCAGTGATGGCGAACCTTTTAGAGACCAAGTGCCCCAAAACTGGCCCCACCCCCACTCCATCCCCTGCCCCGCCCCCACCCCGCCTGCCCGCAGGGCCACTCACTGCCTCCAGGGCCCGCCACAGATCGCCCAGCAGTACCATGGCAGCCACGCCTTCTGCCCGCGTCCTGCAGCATCAACTGTGCCAATGGGCGTGAGGGCAGAGTCTTGTCTGCGCTGTCTGGCTGCCATGTCCTTGGCTGCACTGCTCTGTGTGGGCCACGCTCGGGGACGACTCTCCTCCAGGGGGGCTGCTGGTGGAGTTGGGGGGGGAGGCAAGGCTGGGGCAACGGCACGTGTGCCCAGAGAGAGGGCTCCAAGTGCCGCCTCTGGCACCCGTGCCATAGGTTCGCCACCACTGCTCTATACTAAACACAGTCATGGGGCCGTGATGCCTTTCACTTTAAATGGAAGCAGGGCAAAGGGCAAGAATGCTGAAAATAGCAAATGGACAGAAATGACATGGGGAACACATTGGTTCAGACTACAGATACATGTATCATGTCTGGATTGACCCCAACGAATATTGCAGAACTGCCATTTTTTGTAATGGAGTAGCATTGAAGCCCCTTTGCATTGCCTTTCTTGGAATTTATTACTAAAAGAATGGTGACAAATGCCCTACTTTGATTTACCCAAGCAAAACAAGACCTTTCAGATATTCTTCCCACACCTATGTGCAAGGTGATAGTTAATCCTGTGAGTGCTATACTACAAGTTCTACTGCCAGGGGGCAATACTACCCATAAATATTTTTATTTCTTTAGGGATCTAAAATTATAACATACTTATATTTTTTCTTGAATTCAGTAATATCTGTGATAGGTGTGTGTGTGTATTAATAAGTTGATGTTTTATAAAAAATATTACTTTGTATTCTAGACTATATTTGGAAGACAAAATATCCATTTTAACTGTCGACTGGAAGGCTCTAAACGACTTTGCAACACCTGTAATTTTTCTATATTGGGCCCAGGTCTACAAGGTAACATTTATGTCTATATTTGCACTGTTCTTTAATAACTAGTCTATGATTGATTTATGGGATTTTGTATTTAGTGATCAATACAAAATTTAGTATTAATTGCTTTTAAAACTAACGTCTCTGCCTTAGACCAAATCAGGATGTTGTCAGCACGCTATTGTGTGCTTAGTCAAGTTTGCATTGTAATTTCATTATGAAAATGCCAACTACAGATGCAAGACACAAATGTTTAAAATTCCTTCTCTTGAATTTTAAAATGAATTCTGTAATTAGAAGGCATTCTGCTGTTTTGTCCCTGAAACATGATTTGAAATGTATATTTCCCATGTTCAAATTTGGTTGTAGCAATTGTATATGTGTGATCCTAACACTGGTTGGTCAAAATTCATGAGAAGCCAATTCTACCAAAATATGAACAAGGATTGATTTTTAAACTTATATCTTAGTTATATTTGATAACACAGGCAAAAATCAAGCAAATTTTGTTTATTTCTTCGGTACTTAGATCCATAGGTAGTTCATGAGAAGAGAGCAGATATACAGTATATCTTGTTTTTTCTGTAGGTTGGCTGGTGCTCTCACGTTGTAGGAGTTTACTAGCCAGTGTTGGGGCAGCCTGCCACTCTGAAAAGGGTGACGAGTAAGTAACCAGTATTGTGGAACTAGATATCCTGCAATTGGAGGGCATATGTAAAGAAGTGTGTGTGTGTGTGTGTGTATTTTACAAAGAATTAACCATTAGAGTCATCACAGTTCTCAGTCTTTCATATTATCCAAGAATTATAGTGAGTGGTGATGGTAATGTTATAGCTGCTGTGAAGAAAGACACTATTGATAAGTGTTTTGTGCCACTTTATCCATACCTTTGGAATTTCATGAGCCACAGCAACCATACTCCATACCCAACTCACATTATGTTGCCACCTTTGTCTTAACAAGCAAGCTATGCATGGTAACAATATTAGTGCTGCTAATTAATTGACACTGACCTATGTTACTTAACAACTAGTGTTTATTTAGTGTATAGTACATGGATATAACAATAGTAAAAATATATAAAAGGAGCTCATTGTGTTCCATGTATTATGGAAATATGTAGTCAATTTTGTAAGGTATGAGGAACTTAAGAAGTTATATATAAGTTATAGGTTACATTTTGAAATAAATTAGTTCATGAGAATGGGAATAAGTGTTCTATATCTAGGCCATTTATCCAATTAAGTGCAGTATTTGTTAGTTGGAGAAAATCTGTTTTTCCTCCTGTATAAGCTTTCAAATAGAAGTTAGTCAACCATTCTAACCACTATATTCTTAAGAGGTAGTAATGGCACATGACAAAAGGATTATTATAAATATTTATAGCCCTTACATCATTGTAATTACCCCCCTTCCTCACTGATTTATAATATTATCCAAGAAATAAGCACCATTCACAGTCCATTATTCTATCTATGCAATAGGAACAAATATATGATTTACATAATTGGGTTCCTCCATGGATCTGATACCAGTTTAAACTATATATATTATTTTTCCTGGGCCTTTAAGAGTAAGATGTGAGGAGAGAGAGATTATGCAGCCTTGATACTGCAGAAGTAGGAGAAGAATTGGCTGTTTAGAAGCGAAGAGTATTTTGATTTAGCTATCAAAGCCATTATGAAAACTGACCAATTTGCTGACATATGTTTATTCCTAGTGATGAGCATATGCTTTGTAAACAAATATTTTCCCAAATCCCCATAGCCCTCTCTTTTGGGGGCAATGGGCTACATAATTAATGGAGTACAAGGAATTAGGATATTGTAAAATGCTTTTGTTCTGATTAGGCAGAGAAATGTAAAATGATGTACCTAGTATCAAAAAGTAACTTGCTTCCCATATTGTGTGCTATATACAGTATTTCAGATACTACAGGTTAGTATAAAAATAAGTACTTTGCATTTATATCTTTCTTTTCAAAAGACTTAAAATCATACTCTGAAATATATAGAATATTTGTTAAAATTGCTCTGGGCATTATGGTTAATTTTAAAAAAACATTCTTTTAAATACAATTATGATTCTTCTGAATCTTTTCGTACTGGCTTCTTAAGTGTTAATGCGTTCTGTTTTGGCTACATAAAGATCTGGATTTGAAGTTTAAATTTGTTATTAGCTTGTGCAATAACATACAGTCTTAAAAATCCACAACCATCCATTACAGTTGGTTCCATAACTCATTAGAACTATGTGTTGTATATAATAACTTTTTATCAGTTTTAAAGTGATAACAATAAATAACAATTCCACTTTCTCCATATTTAAAAGCCCTTAATGTTTAGCTTGTCATCCATATATATTTATTATTGAACATTAATCTGATTAACAAAGAAATTTCAGAATTTTTGAATTGCGTGGTGTAGTTTCTGTTAAATTCTGTTGACCTCAGCATATAAATTTGACCATACTTGAATTTCTATTGAAACACAAATATCCTAGAAATAAATATATCTTGGACAAGAGAAGCTCTGCATAATTTGTTTCCTTTCTCTATATGCTTCTCATACCACTATGGTAAAAATACTGTTAAAGGTTATATTTTACTTTAATTGTGTCTGTTTTCAGGCCCTCAGCTGTTCTGCTTAGCTGTGGAATTCCTTATAATGTTGCACAGAATGCCATACGCCTCAGTGTGGGCCGTAATACAAGCAAAGAAGATGTGGACCTGATTGTAGAAGATTTGAAACAGGCCGTGGCTGAGTTACAGTAGGCTGGATACTTACAGTCAACAACAGTAACAACAACAACAAAACATTCTGTTCATCAGTGTCAGGAAGTGATCTTATCTAATCCTGATACTCCATTGCTCTATCTACCATACTTACATCTGACATATTGTGAGTTATTGTGTTCCCATCAAACTAGTGAAACAGAATTTTTGTTGAACATCAAGTAATTTGTTTACAGTTTTTGCATACCTTGGAGCACTGTCTGCATCTATGAGCACTGTTTTTTTTCTGGAGTTCAGCACTAGTAAATCCAGTTGGTGAATTACACTTTTTAACATGTTTTACCAAACAGAAGGAAGAGCAAGGAAATATTTCTACTGGATATTTAAGTTGGTCCTGAGTCGAAAAATGTGAATATAATGGTTGTTACAAAGGTGTTTTTTCCAAAAGACAACTGGACTTTCTTTTTTTTTCTTTGAAAATGTTTGCTTCTCATCCAAGAAGCTTCTTCATTCATGTCTTCTCAATCATCCAGGTCATAGTTGTCCCAAAGGTGCTTTTTCCCAAAAGCAACTGGATTAGTTTGGGGGTTTTTTTCTTTGAAATGTTTCACTTCTCATCCTTCTTCAGCTTCTTGGATGAGAAGTGAAACGTTTTCAAAGAAGAAATCCAAGAAAATCTAGTTGCTTTTTAGAAAAAGCACCTTTGGGACAATCATGATGTGGATGAAAGAGAATCTCCATAGATATGAATACAATAGTTAGAAGGTGTATGCATTTATATACATATACACCTGTGTCTTGAGTGTTTTTTTGATGCACCCTGTCGGCCCAAATATGAGAAGAAGAACAGGGTGCATCAAAAAACACTCAAGACATATCTCCTCCCCTGTCTCTTCCCTCCCTGACAAAGTGAGAAACAGCCTGTGGCCTAGAAGTCAACACAGCTGCCTAAAGTGCAAGCAGTCCAGGTTCGAATCTCAAAAGGGTATGGCTGGCTGATGAGAGCTAATTAGCTCGAAATAGCTATACCAGTCTCCCTTTAACTCTTTGTTAGCAATTCAAAAATTTAGCACATATACACTTGTATATGCCAGACATGTGCATACATATAGTCAAGTAAATCTCTAAATTTGAAACAATCAGGGATTTGCCTTGGAGATGTCTATGTTTAACCCAGAAATGCATAATAATAAATTGTTCTATTCAAATAAATGTATGCATATGTACTGGGAAAGAATGTACAATACATATATAATATATAATACATCTATTAGTATTAAATAACAGAGAGAAAACCAGAATACTGGTTACATATAGGCCTGCTTCCTTCCATTTACCTTAGCATTAAAGAGTTATTTATAGTTTTATGTAGCTAAATATGTTGCCTTGAGCTTTGCAAAATAAAAGTGTGATATAAATCTAATAACTAACTAACTGAAAAGTAAATCATGCTGAAGGCAACTCAGATGTTGGGGTTCTGAATCAGGGATAGTTGCTGTCCCTTTCTGCATGGATGGCAAGAGGACAGAATTACCCACAACAGTAATTCCCTTTTGAGAGGAAGCAGGTGCTGTGATAGGTGCTGGATTTTACTGTCACTGTTTGTTACAAAACATAAAAAGTCATAAATATCATAAATAGGAGATCTGCTCTCACTTGAAAAATCCCACAAAAGGAGAGAGAATGGCAGCTGGGTATACATGTGCATTTTCTTTAAATGTTGAATCTCAGAAATATGCTGGAATTGGCTTGAATAAGTGGAATAAGGTCTATTGTTTTTTGTGTTTTGTTTACTTTTACTGCATCCACTGTAACATTGTTTGCTAATAGTGATGGGGCTAAAGAGGTAATGTTTGGTTTCTTAGTATTGTACTTGCTAAGGTTTTAATAGGAAATTTCTCCAGTATAAGTCACTCACTGACCTTTCATAGTATTATTTGTTTTACAAGATAGCATGACCGGTTCTTGTTTTAAATCCCAAATATATTCTTATAATTTAGAAACATTTCTTGATTTGCAAAAGACTCATGAAACAATTTCCTTTTCCTGGCTCTTGTCTTGATCCCTCATCTATTTCTGTCCCTGATCCAACATTAGGTTTATTTATTTATTCATTTATTTATTAAGAAAAATTATATACATTCATGGATAAATTTATAAGGAATGTTTGTGATGAAGGCAGTGTGTAGGAGATAAAAACATATGTGTATTTGCATCTAGATGGTACAGTGTTGTTTTTCTAAGAACCTGTATGTTTTCTGTGAAATTAGATTGAATGACAGATCAAAAAAATATTGAACAGAAACTAATTATGAAGGATTGAGATGTTTCTAATAGGAAAATTGGAGTGATTGGTAATAAGTTGAACATAAGTGGTAAACATTAGAGCAAGAAAATTCTGTGACTTGGTAGAAGATTGTCTAAGCAAGGGAATATGGATGGAGAGATTTTCACACGTGCAAACGATGATACAAATACGGTGTAGTCTGTCATGAGGAATTAATATTGAAAACGATTAAAATGTTTGTATATAACATAGTGCTTCTGCCAACTTTCTTTGCATATTGAACTTGTATAAGATATTGTATTTGTATTTGAGGGTAAAATCGTTCCATCTCAAGTGACCCAGAAAATGATGAAAATATGAAATTGCACTTAAAAAAAGCAAATGTAGACACAGGAAATTAAAAAAGAAAAATAGTAATTAAAGTTTCTTCAGGTTTTTGTAGCCTATAATTGATGAATACATAAAACAGATAAAATTGCACTGTAACAGTGCTACAGTTGAAGTTTTGCTATTTTATAAATTAGAGTATAAAATTTGCTTTACATTTGACCAGTTCATTTAAAGTACACTTGACACTTTAGGAGTTAATGTCACAGGAGAAAGGAGAATTAATACAATAAAAAAAAGGTACCTCTTGCCAGGCCTGTGTTCCTTTCTCAAGCCCTCAACAGAAATTCTTGTTCCTATCATCCTTTACCAAGTAATCAGAAACATACATCACCTGCTTGATATATAAAGTAAAAAAATCAGAGAAAGTAAGAAAATCAATAATAAGGCTCAGATAGATGGGAAAGCAAAGTGCTTGTATTAGCTACCAAGGAACAAGACCAGCTGCTGATAGCAATCAGAATCAAATAGTGCTCTGAATCAGGTCCTAGGCTTTCGTGCATCATAAGCAAGCAAGGAGGATTTTCTCAGATCTCTGGCTCTGCAAGCAAAGCTTCTTGGGAACCAAAAATAAACAGTGGGGCAATTCCAGCATGTGATGGAGCAACTTGCCAAGATACAACAGCTGAACAAGGTGAAGAAAATAGTGTGAAAGTAAGTTGATAAGAACTTTCTAAACAAGAGAAACAAGAGAAGAGTTGAACTTTGCTTACACCACACATAACTGTAGTGCCTGTATACATATTGCTCTTTGATTAGCCGTGAATGCCAGCAATTGTTGAATTTTACTGCTATGTATATTTAACCCTCATCATTGAAAACTTACATTCTGGCATTTATCAGTTGTTCCTCATGAGAGATGGCATATTCTAAAATAGGATTGTGGATTTGAAAGAGCCTGCTATATCTAGTGCACCACTGTGTGGAAACAAGACATTGCAAGGTCAGTCAGTGCCAAAGGAACTGAACATTTTTTTTCTCATTATTTGCAACGGGAACATTTTACATACCCCTAAGGACTGTATAGCAGCTGTTCAAATAGAGAGGACAACTATTAGCAAATATTAGTTTGCTAAAGTGAAATGTCTTTAAAAGTTTTGAATCTCTTTGGAGTCTTTCTGCACCCTAGACTGTGTTGCTGTTTGTCAGATAAATGTAGTCCTCAACTTACAACCACAATGGGGATTGGAATCTCGATCACTTAGTGATTGTTAAGCGAGATGTCCATATGACTGCTTTGCTCAATGATCACAATCCCAGCACTCCCAACTGCAGTCGTTAAGCAATCTCCCGAGGTGTTAAGCTGGCGGAATGAAAGGGATGCCTGCCAAGCTCAGCAACCCTCTGTGTGTAGAAGGGAACTCCACAAGTGGGCTGCAAAAATTGAATTAGAATCTTTGGGATCCAAGCTCCATTTCTGCACCCTGCTGAAGGAGTTTAGCTCCCCTTAGCAGGCAACTCTTTCAGCCAGCGCCAAGAGACAAGAGAAAGTCCCCTTAGCAGTCAGCAGCATATTGCAACCTTCCCTGCCAGCTTCCCCACTGACTTTCTTGGGAAGCTGGTAGAGAAGATTGCAAATGGCTATCTCATGATTTCAGAGTGCTTCACAAATGGTCATAAGCAGTGCTTTTTTTCAAAAAAAAAAAAAAAAGGTGCCGGAACTCACACATGTCATACAACCTGCCTTGCCTACTCTACAAGGTTCCATCCAAAAAAGGTGGTGGAACTCCGTTCTGGGCGTTCTATGAGAAAAAAAAAAAGCCCTGGTCATAAGTGTGAACAGATTGCCAAACAACCAGATCATGATCATGAAACTCTGGGTACAAATATTTTGTGATGGTTAGAAGTGCTTTACATGTTGTAAAAACCCTTTCAGAGGCTGTCTTAATTCCAGACTTTTGCTGAACAAACAATCATAAGTTGAGAACTACTTAAGTCATTAACATCTTCTGTTATCTATTAGTGTTAGTGTCTCAAGTTCCTCCCATTTCTTTCTCATCCCCCTCACAATCTCTCACAGATGCTAGATTAAGATGGCTGCATATCCAGCCTACTGCAAAAAAGAGGAACAAACAAGAAGTTTCAAGATTTGCAGAAATAAAACAAAACATAAGATGAAAAAAATGAATATAGGGAAAAAAAACCAAAGAGGCTTGAGCCTTATCACTTGAAAGAGAAAAAGGAAAGGAAAGGGGATGAAGATGAGGGATGAAAGCACAGTATTAGCTATACAGTTCTTGTTTCCCAATCTACCATTCCACTCAAACTGAATTGTGATTGAAACTCAGGTTTCCTATCCATCCTGGCCTTCAATCTGAGAACTACAATTCCAGCTTTTCTGGAAAGAATGTATTGGGGAAGACTGCAAGTCTTGCCTCTGAGTTTTGCAAAATGC